TCAACCATATATTTTTCGCGTGTTAACTTTCATGCTGTGAGCGAAAAGAGCAATGTAAAAGAAGAAAAAAAAGTAGAATAAACTGTCAGAGTAAATGTCTGTTTTCATTTGTTTTATATTCCGACTGTTTTATCTCTTTGCACCCGCGGGCCCTCAAACGGGAGCCAGGTGGCTTGGAGTCTGGGGACCAGATGAAGCGCTGGCCAGAGCCTCCCAGAGCAATCGGAGCAGCTCTCCAAATTTCAATTGCATTTCGACAGCGCCACACCGCATAACTCGTCGTGCTACAAATTCTCTTCCTCCAATCCGCAAGGACCAGATTAAAATTGTAATTGATTAATGGGATTTCGATGACTGAGTCATTAAATTGTGTTTCCCAGAGTACGGATTATGTATTCAAATTAGATTGGATATCTAGTTCAGAGTTTCTAGTGTTACCAATGTTTTGGTTGCTTTGGGGATATCGTGTGAAACATGAAAGGACGAATTTCGTGTTTTTATTTAAATATGTTTTATATTTTAAAAAAGAGGGGATATTCAGAATGTATTTAACAGCCAGAGAGTGTTTTAGTGAACGTGACAGTTTGTAGGAGGAAAACCTGAAAGATGCCGTGCCTGCACGAATCCTAGTGAATCATAGTTCGTGAAAAAACCCGCCCTCATTCAACCCGAGCAATGTTTGTTCTTTTTTATGTTGAAAGTCGTCAGCCAGTAGTTTCCATATCGAACGCGGCGAGTCCATATCCACAATCTCGGTGTGTTATCCAACGCTGCAAGTCCATTAGGAGACATCGGGTGGAAGAATCGCGGGCGTGGCCTAGGAGCGCTTCCGGAAAAAGGTCGCATTTCGCTGCCCGTGGAAAGGGCGCTGCAAGTGCCCCTATTGACGTAGTCTGAACAGGAAAGGCGCATCCACCATGTGTCCATTTGAATGATAGCCAACTGTTTAAACGGTAAATAACGTAGGGTATTGTGTTCAGAATGAATTTGTAATTCGTGTCCTGGAAGATATATCGAAACGTTAGATTGTAAAATATTGTCAAATATTGTGGCAGAGAAATTCGCGTAACAAATGACTTGGTTTCAGTAAGCATATAATTGCTAAGTTGTTGAAGAAAACTTCTACCCACTGCAGAAAACTTCTACACACTACAGGAAAAATATTCAACTTCTCTACTAAACCCAATGAGAATATTAGATTTACTTTACGTTGAAGAGATTGTATATCGAGATAAAAAAAATCATGAATAGATCCATCAGAGCTTAAGAATGATATTTCCAATGAATAATTGTAAAACTTTCCTTTGCTTTTGGGCTCTCCTATGATGGAAGGGATAGAAGAATGTGGAAAATCGACCGCGTACGCTGACCATGAACCCAGCCGTAAACTCCCACAGGGACGAGGCAATCATCAGATTTGAAGCAGCTGTTATTCAGGAAAATTCAACGGAAGATGCATAGGGTAGATATTTGTGGGGCAGGCGTTATTAGAATGAACAAATGAAACCAGCCGGATCAAAAAAAGATATGGGATCAATTTCAACCAGAAATACTCGACTTTATATGAAAATGTGTTTGAGTACACAACAGATAATCAGCAATATACACGAAATAATAATTCATACATTTGGTATAAATGGATGCGTTCCATTTATGAACTATGGTAAAAAAAGTAAGGTAATCTTTATAGGTACTAATGAGACGGTCTTATTTAGAGGGTTATAATTGAAGAAAATAAAATGGCAATAAAATTGAGTTTTGTGCATAATTCTTTTTGATTTCATTGATAAAAAATTTAGCGTCAAGTAATTTCCAATATAATCACATTTACATAATTTTAAGGTACGCAAACACGGCATTGAATGCTAAATCAGATTTCATTTGGTTTAAACCCTTGTTTAAATAAAATCGCATCTTCCGAGAGGTTTTGTTCGACCACAATGGTGTACAACCTCATTCACGACGTTTATATTTCCAAAACGGTTGGACAAAGAATAACGTAGATTAAAAGAAGATTAATGAAACATGGAGTATCAAGCTTTCTGATCGGTTACCCCTCTCACCTCTCATCATCATCCTACCACTTCATAATTCAAAACTTTACAACCTTGTCTTAGCAAGGGGTATATCCGACCTCATAATTACACACGTCTCTTTCCAGGATAGAATATGACAGATCCTCGGAAGAGAATGAGTGGTGTGGGTAGAAATGGCATATATGATAATAATAATAATGTATCGCAATAATAATAATAATAATAATAATGTATACGCAAACCCCAGTATAATAAACTTTTGTCATTAAACATTTTTGCTTATAAAATATGTTTTTTGTAAGTAAGCGGATAGAAGGAGAAGAAACAATAGACAACGTGAACGCGGAACTGAATTTTATGTTCTCTTTGACTAACGGAAATTTTCGATTTAGCAAATAAGTATTAGAAAAATAAACAATTGTAATAATCATCCGGAAGCAATTCGAAAAGGGGCTACAAAAATTAAGAAGAAGAACTTAAAGAGGCAGAAAGATACGTTCACGAAAGAACAATTGAACACAGGCAACTGATGAAAATAGCTTTCTAAACTTTCTCTCTTCTGGTGTATGATACTGTTATGTTTAAATGTTTTGGTTAGGAAAGTTATGGTGTCAGCCCTGAGGATGGAATTACATGTCTCTAATCGTTAGCTTATTTAAATATTTTTCATCAGACCAAATCCCATTAACTGGAATTTCCGTGAATACATTGTCTACATTCATTGTAGTGTTTTGAACTTAAAATTACTCATTAGTAGAATAGCAAAATTGGAGGAGAAACTCCTGTTAATCTAGTCACAAATCAGCAACGGCCCACCAAAAGTTGAAATGTAAGCAATCCGCGATATATGTTTCTGCATTTTTGAAAATAAAAATAAATTTTAAAAATAAGTAATGTGGCTACAGAATAGCACAGACTTTATCGAAATAGCTATTTTTTAATTTCTTTTAAAGCTGGGCTAGCTTTTCGGTCATGCCTCTTCTTCTTGCCAGCTGCCATCTATCGCCACCCAAAGTACATTGTTTTGAAATGTTCTCATTTTTCGTTTTTCTAATGGTAGAATTGCAACATGACTAATAATAAAATAGAAAAGTAAAATCTCACCCTAAATGCAATTTTAGTTGAAAAATTTGGAGTCATTTTACAGAAAATGTCGTTTTAGCGTTTCTGAAAATGCGCAATTTGAGGCTCATTATTCCCCAAACCCTTTGAGTTTTTGAGAAGAAGTTTTTGAAATAAGAAATTGTTTGAAGTAATTGTACTCACAAATGCAATAATTTATACAAATTGCCGGTAATGTGCATATTAACGGCATAAGAGATTAAAAAATAATACATTTGTATTCTTTTTGAAAAAACCAAAAAAATACCCGGAAGTGGAATACAAATCATGTAGTGTATTTCACTTTACTCATTACAAGACATTTAAAGAAATAATTTGGAGTCATTTTTGAGAAATTTTTGAAAATGCCGCAGAGGTTTCATGTTAAGTATCCCCAAAATTAATGAATGTCTTTCAAAATCGCAGAGCTCTGAGCGATGTCAGATCGACGGAGGAGTATTCAGTTTGGAAACAATTCCGCTCATATTTTAGGGGATAGTGTTGTTCACAGACCGACGGACAGATGGACAGCGTACGATCTGCAAACGAACACTTTTACGGTTCGAAAAACAGTTTTTCGGTATGAAGGATTCATTTTTCGTGAAATATGACCACATAACGTGTTAGAGGGAGTAATTTGCTACATATTAGAACAGGATTTATCAATTTTTGTTTATTAGGGCCGCACAAAACGATTTTTTCTGTCGAAAAACTCGTTTTCGACAACGTGTACTACCAGGGATATACGTACGTATACGGGAAATTAAAAATACGGTTAAACCTAATCTACATCACTTCCTAGATTACAATAAATAATTTTGAAAATACTCGATGGTAAATGGTCCATTATTTTGCAAGCTAGATCAATAACAAAAATACAATATCTACAGTTAACCATAAACCCGTATTTACGTCCTCGAAATCGGTAGAAACGAGATAAAATTCCTTCGGTTGGCTGTCACTTGCGGGGAGTCACCATGGCACAGTGCAACGCGCGTGCTGCAGTTCCGACGCGGCCGCTAGATTGCGGCTGTGGTGCGGCCCTCACGCCAACGCCAGATTAAGTGCTTACTGCTGTGGGGCGACCGCGACCTGGCCAAGTTTGAAACGGCACGGTAGCCCATAAAGTGTGCGAGTTTTGTTGCTCTTTGTGGAAGTTCGGGCTTACTTCTACTATTTATGGATACGTTTCTCAGAAAATTAGGTGTGTATATCAGTGCGCCATGTGAGAGTTAAATGCCTTTACCTTTATGAATATCTAATGATGTTCTTAAACTCTACCAAAGTCGTAGGCTTAATCCCTTATTTTATAACCCACACATTATTAAAGTTTAATACCTGAAATTATCCAATAATGAAGCATATAAATATTCCGAGATAGGTGAATATATAAACTTTTCAAAAGACACTACTTAATTGATTAGAATTTAATTTTGCTGTAACATAAGCTAAATAGATTCTATTGTAGTGTGCTTAAGGTTCCAAGATCTTAATAGCTTTATTTACAAGGGGTGAAAGGAAAACAAATTATTTGCTGGTTGAAATTTGCACGTACGTGCTGAATGTACTTTCTTACGTATAATTTTTTAAATGACTAGAGATGAAAGTTATTTCAGAAATCCCTCAGAAACGTGCGTTTCTATTGCATATGGCTTAACAAACTATGAAAAGAAAATAGGATAAATATACACAGTCAAAACATAATTTTTTCATTACCTCAAAACATTTCTTTAAAACCTCATTTTATATAAATAATAATATCGCTTCTGAATTTTATTGGTGGAGATTTTGTGTTTTGCGGATGAGATTCCTCATTAATTTCGATTTCACTAGAGAACAACCATACCATTTGTGATGACTCACCGCAGCATCCCGGCGTGTCTTCGGGTGCCTTTTCGGGCTTGGGTTGGCAGCACTTGGAGCACTTGCAGCAGCGCGCGCAGCAGCTCTTGCACTTCATGCACAGCGCCCGCCACGGCGCGCAGCAACACCGCGCGCAGCGCCCGGCGCAGCCGCCTTCCCCCGCCCTGCGCAGCCAGGAGTAGCCCATCACACACACACACATAATACAGGCAGGGGTAGAAGAAACGAACACAAAATGCCATCTCTCTTGCCTTTTCCTTTCTTAATGATTACCCACAATTAAACCCGACCTCGCTCTACATTCTAGCGAAGTGTACCTCGTACAATACAGGGGACACTAATATCCTTCGGCTCCTCTGCGAAACGCTATTCTGCTGCGTTTGCCAACACACACACACACACACACACACAGCTGTGATCCCCTCATTTTGTACATGTTATCCGCCTTTCAAAGCATTCTGAAAACGAGTTTCCTATTCATCGTATTGTAGTGGAAAACCTATGTGCAGTGCTAGACAATTTTTGAACGGGAGAATATTTAATTCATTAAATCTATCGATATTTTTTGGTTCTTATGTCAACCATTCCCATTAGTATACTTCACGTCAAGTGCTCCTTAACAAGCAATATTTCCATCTGGGGAATGCAACCTTCAATTGGTACTCTTGTAATCTAGTAGTACATCGCAAAACACAAAACATTAATAGTAAGTATCTTCGGATCATAAACTTCTCTCGAGAAACAAGTTACAATTTTCCATGTTTAAAAAGCCTTAATCCCTTAAAAAGGGATTTCCGCATTATAGTTAGTGTTGTTGCGTGTTTTACTGTTCTTTATGCAGACAAATCGTTTACATACCAATATGGTTTTGTCAATAATAGTGAATCAGCTATAATATACTTGTATGAAAATTTGCCATTTGCGTTTTCATTAGCGATAAATAACACAATGGTTTAATTCTGTAAATTTTCTGATAAAAATCGCAAATCCTTGCAAAATAATGCTCAGCTGATCAGTTTCTTCGTTTGTCAGAAGTATTAACACCTGCAATTGAGAGAGTATATTACTTCATTATTACAATATGTTGATTTCGTCGTTCGAAATTGTGACTCCTTAATTGCACAATAAGGTTTTTATGAACGAAATAAAAAATTAACAGGAGAAAGAATATGCTGTGTATGACAAATTTATACTATTTGATGAAAATATCCTCTTTCTGCCCTTGTAGCTGCAAGGCAGTTCCGAACGATATCTATATGACATATTGAGTCCCCGCTTCATATCTCGCCCGCCAGAGAATCGTGCCAACGAAAGAAAATAACTCAACGCGCCACGGCGTCGAGAGCTTCTCGAAACGTCACGCATCGCCCGGAGAAGAGCAAAAGGTTGAAAATGAACCGGAGAAACGAGAAAGAACGAAATCATCCCCCGAACCGCGCGCGGAGGTGTCTTCTTGTCCGGGGGCGAGGTGTGATGACGCAGAGCCGGGGTGGGGCGGGGCGGGGAGGGGCGGGGCAGGGCGGGGCGGGAAGGACCTGCGGTGGGTGGAGAGAGCACTGATTAGAAAGTAAACAATGTTTATTGTATTTCTATCCTGTGCAGGACGGGTCGAGGGAGGCGAGCAGGCGGGGCGGGGTGTGGTGAGCCGTGTTGGAGGCGAGATTGTGGCGTAGCGCAATGCGGGGTGTGGCGGAGGAAGGAGGGGCGGCGGTGCGAGGAACAGGGCGGAGCCAGTGTGGGCGGAGAGGGAGGGTTAGATTGGTGTAGCAGGCGGGCGAGGTGTGGGCGCGAGCAGAGCGGGCGAAGTGTGGTGGAGTAGGAGGGCGTGGTTATTGCGGCGAGCAGACCTGGAGAGTGGCGTGGCGGAGCGGGCTGGGGGTGAGTGGGGGTCAAGGGGAGGATCAGGGCAAGGTAAGGTCACGCTGGTGAGGACGAGCGCGAAGCCGGAGAGAGTAGAGGTGGGATGTGGGGTGATGTGGGTGGGGGCGGGGCGGGCGGGGCGGGGCGGGGGGCGGGGCGCGCGAATATCTGCCATCCATCACCGCGCGTCGCCTCAGCTGCTGGCGCTGGATATTGAGGCGGCGCGTGCTGCGCTTCTCGGCGCGCGGAATTGGAAGCGATGCGAGGTGACAACTCCTCCTCCGCCGCCGGGGCTTGTTTCTGACGTTTTTATTACATGCGGGACGAGGGGAGGAGAAACATAGTGGTTGTGCGGTTCTTTCGGTATGAGTTATCTGAGAGGTCGGCATGTTTCTAAGATGATGGGTTGAGCGACGCCGATGATCCGCCTCTATTCATTGTTTCGAAAAAAGGGAAGAAAATGTGCGCGCTTTGAGCTTCGAACGAAAGGTGAAGATGTATTTGAGTGTAGTGAGTGTATCTTCGAACGAGTAGGAGGTTTGGAAAATTCTTAATTCACGTAACGTTTTATTTATACGATGAACTTTATGCTTTTCACTTCCAGAGAAGTTATCTTTCAATGAAATGTAATTATCAAAGTCTTCTACATTCTTGAAGTAAGTTGTATCATTATATTGCTATAGTATTACCTCTGCATTGGGGGGCTTTCTATCAAAATATTTTATTATGTGCAAACTACTAATTTGCTTGGCAGAGCTATAATCTGTCGCGACAATCTATTGATTTTTAAGAAGAAATGACATTAAGCGTAAGACACTCTAAGAAGCTAAAAAAGGTCAAAAGTAACACAAAAATATCATGATAAATGTATAGCATACATTTCAAAATGGGGTTTTGGAACAACTTTCTAAAATTCAAAGATCAGATATATGATTTATTTCATTTTATGAGCGTTACATGCCACGGGAATATATTAGTTAAATAAATCATTTAATGAGATGAACTTTCCTTTAATCTAATGAGGGGTCTAATTTCACGCTTTACAACACTAATATGTGTTAATATGTTAATAAAGAAAGTTCTCTCTCTATGTTAACTCAGGCTATGTTAATAGAAAGTTCTCTCTCTGTGTTAAGTCAACCTGTGATAATAAAGAAAGTTCTCTCTCTTCAGTCAGATAAAGTTATTTCTTGTACGTACGTTTAGCAAACAATTCGACTTATGGAGGAAACTTATTTTATTTTTCCCGAGTGGAACAAAAAATAGATCAATGGAAGTTCTACACGATGCATTAAGCATTTTCTTACGCCACACAAATCCGTGTCCTTGAGATTATTTGGTACGATTTCTACTCCGCACAATGGGTTGTAATGATGAAAGACGGTGCGGCCTAGAAGTTCGATAATAGGTGAGTAGGCAAATAGCTCCATCTTCTTCTTTTCCATTTCCTATTCCGAGAGGGAGTGGATTCTACAGCACTGTTTTCTTCAGAAAACATCTCCTGAATACTGTTGAAATATAGGGTTAATCGGAAGCATAGATATAAAAAAGTAAAGACGATATAAAATCTAGAAAGATTCCTATATAAATGTCTATGTTATAGTACCTGTTTAAGTTTCATTAAAACAGATGTACTTTCATTTGCCTTTTAATGCCATTTTGTTGTACACTTTTGTATGTAACTCTTTTCTTTATATAGAAATCTTTATTTATCGATTCTATGATTTGCGATACCCATCAACAATAAACATATAAAAGAAATATTAAGGCTGCTTAAATTGAATGTCTGAGTGTTGTTTTAAAATATACACTTCTGCATCACAGAATAACCGTAAAAAATCCAGAAACTTATTGAAAATCATCACGCTCAATATGAGAATTCAAAAGGGAAAAATATTTAAAAATTAACGATTGAGAAGTGACACGCTACCGAAGACGCTCCTCATATAAAAGTGTCAATTTAATAACAAGACGACAACAATGCGATCGGAGGTCTCCGGAAGGAGATTGTTTTGAGTTGGAGGTGGAGGAGCTCACCACCCCGACTACCACCGAAAGAAAAACTACGGTCTGTTCGGTAAAGCGAGCTTTTTTGTCACTTGTTTATGCCAAAGCAAATGGCGAGAGGGAGAGTGATAGGCGAGTAACACGTTGGCATTAATTTCACAAATGCCGCGTGGGGTTTTTGTCATTCCGCCAGCTGGAGAATATTCGCGCAAAATCAAAGTATTTATGTCAATAATTACTTTGATTTATTATCTTTAATTCTTCTTTTTAAAGAAATGTTATTTACTTCCATAATTCTGTGGTTAACATTTAAGCTATTGTGAGTTTAATGAGAAGCATGATGAGAGTAAACAACGCGGATCTTTGAAATTCGATTTACATTGTTTCACAACGCGGACCGTTTACATTCGTTTGATGGCTTCAGACAAACGCGTAAATAATATTAATTGCTTGCCGACATGATTTGTATTTAGTTCTTAAAACATTATTTTAATGACAATATCGGAAGAATGTAAAACACTTGAAATCCATTGCTCACCTCTAGCTGTACGCACTGAATTAACGCTTTACGAGTCAGTAACAGCTGACGATCGGCTCATATAGTGGAAAAATACATTTCGCAGATCGATGATGTCTTCGGGGATGGTCAATTACTTTCGAATTTGTCAAAAAACCGTCTAATGGCCCGTACAGAGCATGCGGCTCGTGGAGCGGCGACGCGTGCCGCGACCTCGCTCGCTGTGCGCGAGAGGGTCCCGGAATTAAACGCTGCTTCGCTCCAACATTTTCCCTATTTTCTCATGTGGACAGTAAACACGGCTACACCGCTCGCGAGCAAACGCCGTGCTAGAAATGTTATTAAAGCGAGCACGCGACAAATTTGTGTTTGCCTGAGGGCCCGCCCGCGCGGAGCTGCCTGTGCGGCGTCGGAGGCAGTGGCGCTGGGGGTGGCGAGACCGCGAGGTGGGGCGAGGCGGGGGGTGGCGTCGGTGACGTTGGAGGAGGGAGGGGCTGGCCGGGGACGGGGCGGGATGGGGATGAAGCAGGGCTGGCGGATACGCTGGAAACGGCCAAGGCACGTTGGGTGAGTGGGTGGTAATAGAGGCGTACTATAGGGACGCTAATAAAGGCTATGGGGAGCAGTGGTGGCGGCAGTGTTTGTTGATACGACGCTGGTAGGAGTAAGGTAATGATGCTCGGCTCCGCATTGATTAAAATGCTGCTAGGTACAGCTGCATTGCATACGTTGCGGTTGAGAATATCGAGTTGGATATGCAGGTTATTGTTGACGAAACTGCATCAGAGATATATGGAACGAGAAAGAAATTCCTCTGTAGTGTTATTCAATATTTTGTAATAACACCAAAAGAAGAAA